CCCCCCCCCCCCCCCCCCAACCCACTTATGGTTAGCACCACATTGCGTTACGGTACGTTCTGCCGCTCAGCGAAGAGCAGCGGTTGCTCAGGTGAAGAGGGCTTGGAGGGATTCATTGATATGCAGTATAAAGAATAGTCATGGACATTACGCCGGCGGTGAACGAATCGGTTGATGTACACGTGTTCTGCTTAGATGCGCCAGAAATCCGACTTCCATTCAGAATAACAAGATCTGTAGAATCTGTGTTCCTCTGATGGTAAAACTTGGAAGTTTTGAGAAGTTTTCCTGCTTCCCACACGATAAGAGGAAGATCCTTCGTATTCTAAGTTCATTTCTGTTGGTAGCACAACTAGTTCGGTGAATTGACGACTCTTCTCCTTCCGTAATACCAGGCTCCAGGTATCCGATTGTCCAGGTATATTCTTCAAACGGGTCGATCCACGCCAGAAATTCTTGCATGACCCAACAATAACAATATTTTCAGTAGTTGGTAATGTAGATATCCGCATGAGCCATAAGGGCTCTTGAAAATAGGAGACAACAATCTTCTCCCTCCTCCAATCTTCAACTTCATTTTGCTTCCGGCCTTGATCTTTAGTTGGGGTTCGGAAGATGGAAGGGTCATCAGATACCGTGGGGCGCATGCTGTTACACATACGTTCAGAGGTCATTGGTCGCTGGTCAGTTTTCTCTCACATCGGTATTCCTTCGCAGCAGGGACACTGTTTTTTTTTTTGCTCTTCTGTTCCATGATTCGCTTGAGGATTCGATTATGATAATATTAGAGTTATTTATACAACCATACCTGTCCTACTCCTCAGTTTAGGGGTGGGGGGTGGGGTGGTGGTAAGGTAGGAGGAGGGATGGGAGAATATGACAGCGCGCTCAACACAGAACTTTGTAAAACGCATCATGTCATCGCACACTACTCTTATGCCTTCTATACAGTCTCGGTGGATTGGAATGATCCCTCACTGTTCTCTTCACTTTGTGATAAGGAGCCCATCCTTCAACGAAAAACCCTTTTATGCAAGCTTTAGGAGGAATGAGCCCAGATAACCTGTCCGCTGTAATGCATGGTGTCAACGACTTACGTCTTGAACAACGAAAAATTCCAGTACCAGCAGGTAACCAGTTGCTGATCAGGTACGAAGAATGCCATGTAACCTATTTCAATGCTAGAGTAAGTAGTAGAATCTTTATTTTAGTGGAGATCAGTCATCGTTTTCATTTTTGTGGCTTACTCATAACATTAATTTACACAGGATTCATACGGTGGGAATCTGTGGCTCAGACGTCCATTTTCTCACACGTGGTGCTATTGGGAAGTACGTAGTAGAAAAGCCAATGGTGAGATTCCTACGCCTCAATTTGGAATGTGATTCCTCCTCAACTGATGGACTGATATTCAGGTACTCGGACATGAAACCAGTGGTACAGTAGCCGGAATGGGCAAACTCGTAAAAGGTTTCCAAGTTGGTGATCGGGTGGCCATAGAGCCGGGTGTGGGCTGCCGTCTTTGCATGCACTGTAAGGTGAGGTTCTTTATTCAGCAAGGGTCCAGGTATCCTGGACCATGGAATTTACTAATCCAATCGAATTAAGTCTGGAAGATACAACTTATGCCCGGATACGAAATTCTTTGCGACACCACCTACAGATGGTTCCTTAACACGATACGTAGCGTATGATGCGGACTTCTGCTTCAAGTAAGGCTCCGAACTATGGGTACATTGCAAGCGAATGCGAGAGTTTGGAGAGCTTTGTCTCGATATAACAAATGACAGCGCGCTACGCGAAAACCAAGCAACTGGACTCGCCGATCTTCTTCAGCATCGTTCTTTGCAATATACCCAAACAACCCTTTAAAACGGCCCGAATATCTACTTCACGTTTCTTAAATTTGCTTAGCTATCCCCCTCTCCCCTCAACTTTATGTTTGAGGCTGCCCGACAATGTATCTTACGAAGAGGGAGCTCTCATAGAACCACTTTCCGTTGCGGTATTCGCCTGCCGAAGATCTGGAGTTCAAATGGGCCAGAGAGTATTGGTTCAAGGAGCAGGTACTATAAAACAACAGTAATAGGGCTTCAGTTTGTTTATTTACATATCTCTCCAAAGTTTTTGCTCTGCTCAGGGCCTATTGGAACACTTTGCATGATGACAGCAAGAGCTCTGGGTGCTGCTGATGTCGTCATCACAGATCTCAACCAGAGCCGTCTTGATCTTGCCATGAAGCTCGGAGCAAAACACGCTATTTGTGTCAAGTGGGTTCATTGAAGATCAATCGTAATTTCTTAATTGGTATCCATTCAAGAGGAAAATCACCTGCCCAAGTGAAAGAAGAAATAATCAAGTCTCTGGGTACTGAGCCGGATGTTTCAATGGAATGCTCTGGAGCACAATCTTCTATAGAGTCAGCAATACTGGTGAGAGACTAGTGAGACTTCATTCACCATCTAATGAAGTGTGGGAACATTTAGAGTACTCGATCAGGAGGTGTCGTTGTGTTGGTCGGATTGGGAGAAGATAGAGCCGAACTTCCCATAGTGGAGGCCGCTCTTCGCGAAGTCGACATCAGGGGAGTGTTTAGATATGCGAATTGGCAAGTTTGAACTTCGTTTTCCGAGAAACTCAGCACATCCTACTTTGTTCACCCCGCAGTAGTAGATCCAATTACTTCAGTTATCCAACAGCCATAAACCTTGTCGCTTCTCGACGTATCGATCTGTCTGGAATCACAAGAGCTCACCACCAATTGAAGGACGCCGTGGAAGCTTTTCAACGTGCCCAAAAGGGAGATGTGATCAAAGTGTTCATTCATTGTGATAGTTAGATTATGCCAGCGATAAAGGTGATTTCTCTTCCTCACCAACCTCAACGTCTCCTTCCCAGCAAGCCTCAGACTCCGAAACTTAAAAACATTTACTTTAATAGGTCCATTCGTGAAAAATTGAAGCGAGAATGTTTACAAAACCCTCGCATTGTTCAGCAAAGACTGTGCAGAGAGAAGCCTTTCTATGGGAACACGCCTCCGATTTCATCAGTGAACGGCCCGCCCCTGACAATCCCTGTACCGCTGCCAAACCTCGTTTAGTGCGCCTCGTTTTTCGTTTGTTCATTGTATTCGGGGCTGATTCATTGCCTCATATCCAACATTTCACATCAGAAGCATTTAATTCATCTCTTTTCAAACATCATCGTTCTTAAAAAAAAAAGCTTTATGCAGTTGTGATTTAGTCTTGTAGTGAAAGTGCCAATGACGTGCCTAAATTTGGCTGCACAACACAATTGGTTCACGTCGTAGGTACGGCGAAGTAAACAACACTCATTATAATACCGTAACTTACAACCTCGCGATGGGAATCGAGCTCATGTTGCAGACTCGAACTCGAGAGTGATGTGGTGTCCTACGATACGAAATACTTTGGGGAGGGGGGGGGGGGGGGGTAACTTATAAACTTTTAGCTAAGAAGTGAATAAACTACCCTTGACCTGTGTACATTCGCTTTAGCCATTCGATACTGTAACATCAAAGTTTCTCAGAAAGGAATGGACGTTCACCTCTCCACGACCAAATTGCTGCCTAACCTCCTCCCTCCCGCAACCCTTATGCACTTCCTATTTTGAGTTAGAGCACGAATTACTCATGCTCAGGTATAGAAATGACTCAAAACGATGTTTCAATGGCTCAATTAAAATTTCGCAAGGGAATGCACAAAGGATTGGGAAATCCGTGCGTCAATACCATTGCAAAACAGATTGGAACCTGCGATGACTCATCTGCAAACTTGGTCGCGTGAGTTTTTAGGCGACAACTTGAATGTGCACCACGACGTCGAACACATTCAAAGTGACGCTTTGGAGGAGACCCCACATAAGGCAAATGCTCCATTTCCAGGTCAGGAGATCTCGGAAAAGGGCTCTCTGGGAGGTTAGGTTGCTGATATTATGCAGGCCAGGGATTCCCTATGAGCAACGAAGTCTCTGTGAGAACTGCTGCAACATACCAAGTTCCCAGCATGGATCTCCTTTTTGGACTACTCCCATGAGAGGAATATAATTAAAATTTTTTGGGGAGCTTCAGGAGTTTCAGGATATTCTCTTGGGATTTTTTCAACCCAGTTCACATTCAACGAGGTAGGGCATGAAATTGAAGTTCTTCTTGTTTCACCATGAGTAAAGGCCTCAATCGATGTTGTGGTTTTCAAAGAAAAACAAAACAATTCATTGCAAATGCCAAGCGTTTGAGATTTTATCTGACTTATGGAATGCTCGTCGCAGCCATTATTTTGAGAGCAGCATTACGTCAACGATTTATTCTGGGCAGCAGCTATAGCCAGCTGATGATTCATTTATTCGATTCCCATCTTGATAGCATCGTTCATGAGTGTTACCGCAGTTTGAGCTACACTTGTTCCTGGATGTCTATGTTACAGCGTTCAATCAGATAGGCTCCTAACCCTAACTGGGTGGTTTCTTGCCAAAGAATCGTTCCCCCACTGTAAGCTTGGGCTTTGAAAAGGAAGCCTGGTCAATTACAGGCATGAACCTTGGGAAATATTGAATGAATCATTGAAAATGCATTTATTATTTATTAATTGATTCTTATGATACCTGCGGAAGGACGTGCCAAATCTCCTGGACCTTAACAGAGGCATTTACCCCAATTCCCAACTGCTAGGGCTTCCCGGTTCAGGCCAATACAGGCCAATGACGTAAGCGTTCGTGGCATATTCAGTCCCCGGGAATATTCACATCCGCAATGTGCAGTATTTCATCTGGTAGAAGATGGGCAGAAGAAGGACAAAGTGGTTTTTTAGAAAGGAAATTTTTGCTTTATTTTGTGTATGTCAGATAATATTGTTGCAATCAATATTCATTGGATGTATGAACACATCATATAATCTTATATTCATAAAGCGCGACCTATTTTCAGACCCAATTCATGTGCTCCATTCCTTTTTGAAGAGCTTCGCATTCAGCATCCCATGAATGTCAGTCATGCCAACACTGATCAAAACAATTCCATGTTTACACAGCAGAAAACCAGTTGTTTTCAACATCATTACTTATCTTCTTCATTGTTATGCTAACTCGCCCTTCAATATATCATGAAAACGGAACTTCTTGAATCAATATATTCATGGTGGCCGTAAACGCATTCCGAAAAAGATTAGAAAATTGAGAAGTCCAATGGGCTGCTAATCTTCTACCATTACAATTAGTGAAATTGACTATTGGCTTTGAGCTGCTGCGTTTGGGATCCTATGCTTGCTGTCATTTTTTGGAGGATAACGTTCCAAAAAGGGCAAAAACCAGGTGGATTGTCGGGTCAGGGACTCTAAACGGAAAAGAACAAGCCCCTACCTTTCTCATCTTTCCTTCTAGAGCATATTGGCTACTGGTCCTTCAAAACAAAAAGAATTCATTCAAACACCTTCGAGCAGCTGTGATAATAAGCGCACGCTCTGCTAGTTGTCCTATTTCAGGAACTTCTTTCACAAATGAATCCTCCCGATCGAGGAAGACGCTGCCTGCAATCCCATGATACATTCCTTGGCATTACCATTTCGACGAAGCTCCCTATTCAAATAGATTCTGTCTCGTAGCTGCAAGTGTCGCAACGATCTATTGCTTGTCTATTCCACCGTAAGGCCATGCCTTTCCCAGATATTGAAGTAGAGCTACTCTTTCCGGTAGATATACATCCGGGCTCTTACCGGGACTGGTCTCCTACTTCCTTTTCCGAATTGTTCAGTCCGTTTTGGGCATGAGCTTTCAGAATTCCTTTTCTTTAGAACCAATTAGAACCACAACTGTTCTCTCTGCTTTTGTAGAGCTAGTCCTTCGTTCCGCTGTGGCTCCGCTTTCACCAAAGGTCATTTTCTTTGACAGTCGCCGACAGCTACCCATATCACGCCACCAGTGTTGTCGATAAATGGAAGGTCGATAATGATCAAATTCCCGATCTTTACCACCATTTCCTTCCGACTTTTATGTGTTCAATTGCTCCATCTTCTTTTTCAATGAGTTGCGGCCATGATTCATTCAGTTATTCCGAAATATCGGCAGATTCGCTGAATCAGAGCCTGCACTACGGCAGAATCTCCGTCGGAATCTAGATGTATCGGTCGAGATCACGCTTGTCNCTACGGTATCGAGACCTCGCCTGGCAGTAAATGTCTAGTTCATTTGTCGTCGTATCGTTACCGAGGAAAGGTTCCTTCCTATCAAACTGCTTCATGTCCATCAGCCAAGAGGTCGTCCTGACTGTACTCCACCCAAAAGACCATCCCTCACCACCTCGTCCGCCATTGTCATTGACGCTATCGATTTTGAAATCGGTCGGCATTGCAGCTCACATCCAGAAACCGGTCTCTGCTCATTAACAGCCAACAGTGCCAAGCTTCATTGCTTCTTTTGCTCTAGTACAGTATGTCGTTTGTCTGATTTCTATGTTCTGGAATCTTCCCCACAGCTTTTTCAGCTTAAATTCTTGGGAGATAATTTTTCAAGACAAAATTGGGCTAGTTGCTCCCCAAGCTCCCTGGCCACGGTTCTTAGATTGAAAGATAATATCGGTAGGGCCTAATTTCCATGCAGTTCGTCGTTGGCGCCCACAATACTTGGACTTGTGACTTGAAGTTTTTTACCTTTTTCTTGTATCGCACAACTGTTGTCGCCTATCTACCAGCACTTTGTTTCTCCCCATCACTCAATATCGCCTGCTATTGAGAACCCTAAAAACATAAGATCGTACCTGTCTCTTGAAGTGATGACTTGTTCTAGGAACTTTCTTTGATTGTTGGGAATTAGTTGCTCAGAATCCATTAGGAATTGATAATGATAATTGTGCTCGTTTTCCAAAAATGACGTTCTCACATTGTCTCCCTTCTAAAGTTTACCCATCAAACATGAATCCATCTGGGAATTGCCTCTTCAGAAAGGCGTGATGAATCGTGGCGCCGTCATATGTCGCTTCGTGTTGAGTTTTTTGGGTGACACCGATTAGAGTTTTCTGTGACATTGCTATCGTTCGGCTCTCACGAACTGGCCACGAGATGGGGGTGGCGCAGGGTTTTTCCCCCATGCGATCAACTCGATCCTGATCTTCGGTGGAATTTCGCATGCCATTCATTCACCCACCGCACGGCCTAAGAGGATTGTAATGTTTTGCCAGCGCTTGTGTGTTGTGGCTTGGCGCTTGGATGTATGCAAGTGTTTTGGTCGATATGGAGCTGCATAGCTGTCTGGCTAGCAGGATCGGCTAACGTCAGTCCGATCCATTTTTTTCAAGACGAGAGGGGATGTTGCTAAACCGGGACTCTCATCGCACTTTCTCCCTTTCTGGCCAACCCTATGCTTCTTTTTGTATCGCAATCCTCTCTGGCCAATATATATGGCCTGGTTTGATTAGGTTTCATTACAGTTGAATGCTGCAGTTGTTTTTGTCGAATGACTGCCATTCAGAGGGTGTCATCGATGGCATGCCCAGCGCTGCTATCCAGCTTTGTTTGAGCCATCTGCCCATTGCCGCTCCGTGTTTGCTAGATTACGGACGAAATCACTTTTAGCATATATACGATCTTTTAGTTTATTCAATCCATAGCTGTTCAGTGAAAAAAGTTTTTTTTCTTGGGGAATCCGACCAAATGGCAGGGACAGTCGATGGAACTCTTTTGCCCTTTGCTGAATAACTGCCTTTGGCGTCATGCCTTTCATTCACCGTTCGGAACGAAAATTGCTATATTTTCATGAATATGAAATAAATTCCCGAAAATGGAAGACAGATAGGCCAGTCGTGTTTGTCTTGGCAACCACAAAATCCTTGTCTCTCCTCCATTCTTTGATAAAGTATGCAGTTAAGGTCGAGGGTTCTCAAAGTTGATGCGTTTCTGGATTGTCGACCTAAGCCTGGCCTCCGTCAGAATTCATTCGTAGGCACTTGTGTAGGTTCATGCAGAATAATAGCTAATGAGAGTTACTCGATGTATAAGTCCGCATTTTTGTCATTTTAGACGGCCTATACAATCAGTACCGGTTAGCCGTAAGGGAATGAAATTATCGGTTAGCTTGACAGTTATCTGGTCCGAGTTCTATCCACGATTCNTTGAAGTGCGGCAGCTACCCCGTTCATCCATTTGTGACCCTTCTTGGAATAGTAATTCAATAGTTCTCAATCAAGATGTTCTCAAATTCGATCCTTTTCCAGAGTGGTGCATCCCTGGAATAAGCTTCTTTTGAAAAATATATCTCTGCGACTCTTTCCTTTTACCTTTGACCTAAGCAAGCATAGTCCCGCCATTACTCTCACTTTTACCTGGACAACTCTTATGTCTACCACAACAACCCAATAGATATCAGGCGTGTTCTAGAGTAAACAATCTGGCGCAAACAGGTTTCACTACTACCCAGGCACCCTAGGAGTTGTAGTGGACGCAATACAACTTTGACTGAGGAGCTTAAAATAAGAATCTGCCCCTTCATTCTGCTTCCTTCTGCCTTCTTACTTTCTCTTTCCCCTGACTATCTTTTCCTTCATCTTCGACTAATTTCAAATATCGCTGTTGTCTCATCCTCATCTGGGATTCGGGTCGAATATGTGTTTTGATGGTATGGTCTCTTATCCACTGACTGAATATTTCAATTTTAACTGGGGAGATCTCCATAAAGACATCATTTTCAATGGAACCTCTCATGATCAGATCCTTTCCCTCTTCTACCCTACTGTTTCGAACCAGTCGTTCGCAGTCCAACTGCTACTTCCGTGCGTACTTTGACCCCTTTGCCTTTCCCACCCTCTTTAATATACCATACCGTTTATCGTCTAGTTCACCTGCAATCAGTCTAGGTTTACTCTTTGCGGTCTACCGGTTATCAGCTGCTGACTGGCGTCTTCCTGGCAGTGAGATTGTACATTTTGGTATCTGCTCTTCTCTGAAGTAGTCTCTTCCAACCCATCTGTATCTTTTGAAGTCTACTCGTACCGTTTGTCTGAATTACAGTATAGTCTTCGATCCTTCCAATATAATTGCTTTCAGAGAATGCCCGTTGAACAGGATATTCTTGGAAAATGGACGTTTGTGTCCTCGGAAAATTTCGAGGCTTACATGAAGGAGGTGTGGTGGTTCTGGAAGGCTAATTGGTCGCATTATTAAAAATCGTATCTTCAGGCTGGTGTCGGTCTGATGACCCGTAAAGTGGCTGCGAATCTGAAGCCAACGTTGGAATTCGTGAAGGAAGGCGACCACATCCAGATGACGTCCGTCTCTACGTTCAAGACATACGTCACTAAGTTCAAGATTGGCGAGACCTTCGATGAGAAGACCGGCGACGGACGAGATGTAACATTCTACTTTCTTGTCATGAAAGCTACACTGGGGCTCGTAAAACCGTTCCAACTGTCACTCAGTTATTGCTGCTGGAGTCTCGGAATACCATTATTTCTTTACCCTTTCGCAAAAGACGGGGAACGGTGTCTCCTTCCTTTTAGAAAGCGTGATTCAGAGTTGGCTGTTTTGTTATCTCGTTCGCTGACCAATGAGGAGAGAAATTTTTTAGAGCGAACGCTGTGGTTTATCAGTCGGTCACCCCATTAAGGGGCCATTGATATGCATCCCTAATCTGGATGGTCTGGGATCTGATCCATAATTGGAAGTTGTCAGGCCGGTCAAACTTAACGTTCCTCTTTTCCTCCCCTCACCGTCATTCTTTTCTGGGACTAGACGATCGGTATGGGATTGGTAAAGTTTTTATACCCATCCACTCTTAGCTGTGCCATTGTATAAACGGGTTGCGCCCACAAATGTCTTTACGATTCAAGGAGAGGAAGTTGAATGTCCGGCTTAAACCTTAAATATATTGGAAGAGATCGTTTTCATAAATAATTCGATTGCTCTCTTAGGTGAGCCAAACCTACACTGTCGAGAATGACCACCTCGTTCTCATTGAGAAGAGCAAAAGCGGAGGCCCTGATTCTCGCATCGAACGTTATGTGGAGGGTGACAAGCTCTACATTGTGAGTGTTGAATATGCTTTTTCACTGCTGGGTTGAACAAAAGATTATTTTCTTTCTTTTCGAGTAAAAAATAATCAGTTTCTATTCAGATCTGTGAATGCAATGGTGTGAAGAGCACGAGAATTTATGAACGAGTTAAGGAATAGATATTTATTCGTGTTTTTCTTCTTCTGAAATTTGTATAACATGTTCATCTTTGTTCTTTGCCTGATTATTTTTAATAATTGTTTAATAAATGTTCTACAGTTAAGCGATGACCAGGAATGATTTGCTAAATGGGAAAATTAAAGCCTCGTGTAGGAAAGTGAGGTAATGAACAGGAAAAGAATCAACGAGAAAGCGTAAAGGGTCTATTTCTGGATAGTGACAGCTTATTTGATGACCCTACATGACGGTGCCGTTTATTCTTCAAAGTTTTTGATGGAAAAGTTGGGTAAGAGGCCTTTGAAGGGGCAGGGAGGGACGGAATAAGGGGGGGGGGGGAGGGTAAGGACAAGGGTTACTAACAAAGTGCGCGCATGGATTCTTTCACATCTCCTCTAGATTCGTAGATGAGAAAAGAAGTCAATGTTACTGATAGAAACGAAAACCGAAGAAAAAGAGGAAAAGTGGTTGAGGGGAGAAATCTGGGATGAGCCAACCTGAAATGGATGCTTTATTTTTTGGACCTCTGATCTGTGATTTCTAGCCACATGCCACTATTAGTGAAGAATTCCCGAGATCCGTTTCGTTCCCCTACGGTTCTTGGGAAAAAGGGTTTGAGCGGGCAGGATACCGATTACCGAAATCGATAATGATCGCTGATCAGGACTGTTCCATCCGAATTGCTTGCTTGCTCTAGGTTTCACAACTTACTAAGCAGGACCAGCATACGTCCAAAACTTCAGAGTCGGTTTTTTCTCGGGAGAATCCGTTGTGTCTCTATTTTACTTCATAAAATCCACCAAATGAGAAAAAGCAGGTTTCTGAGAATGAGCGATGACACAACACCTTTGCCTCCACCCAGATGTCCGCTTTCATGTGGAATTTTTTTTGCCCTTAACCCTTCAAAATTGATAACTTTTAATTTGGCCTGCAGTTTTTGTTAGCAAGCTTGAAAATGCAAAGAAAGACATCCAGAAAAAATAGCGTTTTTTTAACAGAAAACAACGAGAATTTGAAACAATACTTATACATAGACACGGGATGGCAAGGCGCTGAAAATTCCTATGAAGAAACAATCGACAAATAGGCCTCAATACGATAATCACAGTTACAAGCAATTCAGTAGGATAAGGTGAGTGGCAGTAGCGAATTTTTCCAACATACTGACAACTATTTTAAAAAATGCGTAAAAATAAACTAACATGCCCGTATTATGTATCGGACCTTTATCGAAGTAGAAAGAAGTAGTTGATAGACTAGAAGGCTTACTTTCAGATACTGCCACCAAAACAGAGAAAGTCGTGACGGAGATCCATGATCTGCTAGTCAGAAGGCCGCTACGCGACTGCTCGCGAGACTGGCAAGTAGTGCGGACAAGACTTTCTCCCTTTTGACTAAAGTTCTCAGTGGAAAAAATATGAACATCACCAAATGGCTCCCTGAAGTACATCCACTTCTATCACACATTACAATACGGTAAGTAAGTAAAGTAGTCAATGTGTTGTACTATAAGATCCATGTGGACGAGTTATCCCGAATGAGTTTGGGGATGATTGGAACTATTATGGCTAAGGAATGAGTTATAGTTGACGGCGATCGCGATAACTCGTCCAAAAGGAATTTTTTTTACTTTCGGGCCAAATTCGGTTTGTTTCAATGGTTGCGGTGTTGATGGCCTCCAATAGGTTTGAAACATTGGAAAGTACAAAAAACCCTGGGATAACGGAATCTGTTCAAGAGGCTTCTTTTGAATTTTGTTTGTTGTTCTGGAGACATTCCTTCGTGAACCTTATGAGCTATGAAAAGGAAGGGTCATGTGTCTTCATCGATGAATTTGATGGAACTGAGGCTGGCACCGAAGGGATGCGCCGGTTTTTTGATGTCAATGGTTCGACGAGGCTTACGACACACGAAGAACAATACCGCAACTGCTAACAGCAAACAGAATACCAGCACACATGCGGTGATCAACTTCGGATATATGGACGTCTCCTCGGCCACCTGAAATACCATGTGTTTTTTTGGTACCGTAAACCCTTGGTCAAGAGAAATCTTCGGGAAGAATGTGAGAAAATGGTGATTCACATGCATTTTGAATCTCCGACATCCTTTCCCTTTTATATAATTTGAGGAATAAATAGAACGTAAAATATCACCTACCAGTGGCGCTTTCCATATGCAGAATCCGCTGTTAGTGGCTGTTCGGAGGTAGGGGCACCGAAAATCAGGGCACATTAAGGGAGGTGCTATAGGGCGGTAATCTCGTAACCTGTAAGAGAGTTGAGTATTTCCAAGAAGTCCAATAAAATACAAATAAATTCGCATACCGATCACCGCTCTTCGTGAATAACGAATTCCAAATGGCGATATGTAAAAGTGAGAGGCCCCTTTCCGAAAAATGAGCACAATCGTAGCCAAGAATACTCAGATCCATCCTGAACAAATCGATCAGATCATGGAGCCGGTCGGTTTTCAATGGTTCTATTTAGATCTGATTTTCATGATTTAGATTTTGTATAATATTCAAAAATAACAGTGCCATTGTCGACTAAGTAATCGGGTGCTCTTGCGTAGAATTTAAAAGTGGGGGGCCGTATTAAGTATAAACTCAGGGGAGCACGTTCAAATCTACCATTCGTGTATCGAATCAGGGACAACAGTTTCGAGTAGTAACGAAAGTCGCAAATAGGAAATAGAACGAACTGCTCTGGTAGGTTGGTCAAAGCCGAATCCCGTAGCAATGGCAGCACTTCCACAGTGAAATCAGAACGTCGGAAGTTTTTATGTATGATTGCTTCCATCTAAATAAATAATATAACAAAGTTTGCAAGTCAACACAATTGTTCGACAAATAAGAGCCGCTAGGAGCTGACCTGATCCCATACAGACATGGAATTATATTTGCTGTGTGTTTTCCACATGGAAAGCAATTCACGACAAGCCTGAAAAATTCATATGACCCGATCGATCGCAAGAACAAATTACAAGTAGTTAAGCTTCTTTACTGAGGGTTGAATAGAGAACTAATGGATGGGTGGAAGCCCAGTCAACCTAAGCATTTGTCTCTCCGTGCATTATTGTCTTCGAAACAATCACTGTTAGTTACAGAGTAACGGAGGCTGCCCATAACAGATTTGTGCTTGCTGAGACAACTATCCAAGACAGCCAAATGGGATAAACAACGAGACATCTGGCTAGGAATTACCGCGGGCGGCAAGCGGATCGATTCCGCTACTGAAAACCTTTCCATAAGAAGCGAGGCGATGGCTGTGTAAGAGAAGGTGAATGAGCTTTCACTATGAACATGCTACAATCCCGGTGTACAACCGTAGACGAAAAACATGCCACGCCGCAGCCGCGCGCATCAGTGGCGTACAAGTCGGTAAAGGCGCTACGGACCTTCTGCTTGTGAGTGAACAGTCAGCACATATTTTGTAAGCCAGAAATAAATCGTAAGGCCAAAAAAAGAAAGAACCCACGACATGTGAGTGCGTAGCATCGGACCAGATACCATTCCCTGATGTTCGTATAATGGTAATAAACGTCCTGACAGGGAGTTGTCGATGGAGTTCCTCAACTGCTTCTAGCACTTCAACGGCCGTTTGTCGTGATTCAGAAGCCTCACCATCCTGAATAAAGACCACATTCTGCTGGGAAGGCACGATCCATCTTCGAGTAAGCCATGCCTATGTCTTGCTAACCTAAATCGTTAACACGATTGTTCACCTGAATTGTTGCTGCTATTAGGATGAACTTCCATATATTTTCGTAGCCCTTGAACTGCTGTATGGATTCAGCGATCGTTCTGTAATCATTGATTATCACGGTACAAAAACCAGTTTTACAGAACTCCTCTGAAAAAATTATCGTTGACGAATCTCCACCCTAGTCTAGCTGATTACGACCTAGAAACTCAATGTTATAATAAGCGAATGAGGTTTTAAGAAAAAATCCTTGCTGCTGATACTGATGTCGGTACCAGCCTTATTCTAAACAGTGAATTCTCAACTCTCTAACAACTTCATTTGCTAGTTAGTCCTTCTTCGAGCAGTGATACTTGGAGTTACTCGAGTAGATTTTTTGTTTTGTAAATAATCCATTCGATGACAGTGATAGAATTGAAAGACCAATCTCTACTCTGCAAACTGCTCAGAGTACGTCATACGTCAGGACCTTTTTTGGAATAAGGAAGAAAAGAACCGGAGGGTAGTAAGGTGATCCACAGAACTACCTGGCCTGTTCTCTCAAGCTGTCATCGCGTTCATTACTTTCTACTATGATCAAGTCCGGATTGAACACTTTGAACATCTTATCCAACGATGGTAGATCTGTCGTGGAGGACCGATGATCACATGAATCCAAAATTCCTGAAACATTATTCACTGATTTGTTGATGTGTTCATAATTTTTGAGGTTGTCCAGAAATCGAGAAAACCGGTCTCAAGTTATAGGAACGCAGTTGGAAATCGGAGAAATTAGAGAGACTTCCTCCTTGTTTTGTGGACGAACTTCATTACCCTCCAGCCCCAAGCAGTCTCTTTCTAGAAGTTTGAAAAAAATAGATTAACACTTGAAAAACCCGCGTTACAGTACAGTAGTGAAGTTTGATCGTTTGGCAAAGGTGGCTAAACGAGCGATTCAAAGCCGAATATCCAAAACAAGAGAAATCTCTTGGCAGCGATTCTGCTGAGAGCCTGGGTGTATAGGAGACCCTAACGTGCTCCCTCCTCCCTCATCCCAGTATATGAGCTGCAGCAAAAATGTACGGGTGACCAACAAAAATTAGATAGAAGTAAAACAATTGCGTAAACCATTTGCCATAAACGCTATGCCTTCACTTCCATCCAGAATCGAAGTGGCATTTGATGCGTTCTCAACCTATACCTACGGGAATCAGCCAACACACAGGTGGGTGACTCTGCTCCTCAAGAAAATATGTGTGATATCACCATGCCCATTTGGAGGTCTGACGGGCTTGTTTGTCGTGCACTGGTTTTCTCAAATGAATCTGTAGGGCGGGCAATCACCACTGCCATACCTTGCACAACAAGAAAATTGATATCAAGAAGCGCCCGAGATCACGAGACCTCGCCCACTGATCTGAGTGTTTTTTCTCGCTGATATGGTCCGGAAACGAGTAACAGAAAAGCAAATCTCACCAGCTTGAAGCTCTGAGTAGTTCGATTTGCAGTAGGTGGCCAAATGCCCGATATCTGCATAAATCGAAATGGACGTCGGCCGAAGTGTGTCGGACGTGTCTTCCGTCTCAGACGGCGGAATACGTGTACAGGAACCGAGAGCTGTCACTGCAAGCGGATAGTCGAGTGTCTGCTCTTCGAGCTGATCGGCCTAAAAACTTCCAGTTAATCCAGCTCACACCACTACGCTCATCTGAAGGTTGTTATTTTGCATTTGTTCATTTGTTAGTATTATTGTTTTGCATGTTGATTAAAAATATTCTGAACAGGACGCCAAATGGGGGTACAGTTGCCCGGAACTGGGAGTCTGGGACCATTTTTTTCCTACCCTTCTACTTGGGCTCTGAGATCTTCTCATGGCACGATCTTTCTCATTAGCAGTCCCAGTATAAACCTCAGTTTGAGTAGCTCCTCAGCCAGCGCATTCCTCAATACATTCCGCGGTTTTCAGACATCTGCTGTCCTCCCGACTTTATATGGTGGTGATGGAACGGAGGTCATAAGAGTTAATAGGCAATTTTGCACGAGTGGCTTGCCAGCATTTCAACGCACAATTCCAATAATGTTGCCCCAACTGCTACACTACGTAATTAAAAACACGTAATTAAAAGGGCAACGTTGAATTCCGCAAGAAAGAAGGTGCTAAAAGCAATAGAAGTATTTCTTGGCTTGCCTTTTGCCTTGTACTCAAAGAAGGGAATAAAGACGAATTATAGAAGTAAATAAATAAATATGAGGTTAGCTATAAGGAGTCGATGGATGGGACTAGGATTTACACAAAAGATCAGACATGGCAATTTCAAAGTTGGAGGAGGTGTATGAAGATATTCGTGCTCAGTCCTCCATCTCATCCACACTTCCGTTGCCCTCTCTTCACTACCACTCAGAGTCTGGCAGTATAGCGACGGAAGAGGAGAGGAATGGGCCCTGTGTCGAGACCAAAATATGGGCAATCATAATTTACAGAAACGACTTCCACTGCTATATTTGACTCAGTCGCCAGATCTATTCCATCGCACTCTTCAGCATGTACATACCCTCAACATCAATCATAATATAATAAACTTAACAAAACTGGAATTTAGCAACTTTTCTCCAAAAAGTTCGAGGGGGTCCACCTTCGTGAAAGGCATCAGAAAAAGGCGAGACAAATTAAGTTTGGATATAAATAAGCAACGATCACGAACCTGCAGTGAGATGAGTTGCATCCATTGATCGTAGAATTCTCTATCAGTTGTCAATTTCTCTTCGATTCGTCTCACATCTTCAGAACGAGGATTCGATCGACAGAAATGAACGATAAAGAGAAGTACAAAAGGGAACATGGCGCGTCATCTACGACACATATCGGCTGATCTGAAGAAGCTATTTTGTGGGCTTTTCCTTTTTTGGACAAAATGAGGATTAACGATCACAAGCGATTTGAGGACCATTTCGATAAACAAGGCATAGCAAGATGGCAATTTTCAATGAGCCATTTTAGACATAAATATGTTTCAAGGAATGCTGGAGAAACTTGAAGAGTTCCTGATTTTTTTTTNTTTTTTTTTGATGATTTCTCGAGTAGATTTGCTAAAAAATCTGCTTATTTATGAACACCCAATACAGAACGAACGATAACAAAGGAAGTTTACTGTAAGCAAGTCGTCCGAGTTGAGTCAGCGTTCCAAGTGAAAAGGTTTTCCTCGGTTCCGGATATGAAAGGGCCTCCTTAGATGAGGCTTGACCACAAACAACAAGCAACATACTGTAAAACGTTTGGCAGTTTCAATGGAAAATCTCCGTTCCCACGCCTCTCCCCACCCACTTGTTCACGAAACAGACTTCCAAAAGGCCCATCGAACATTCATTCCCCTGTCTCCATAACGTTTTCGCCATGCAGAACATAAATTTTGTCGGTGACGTCGAAAATGTAGCAGAAAGCCATTTTTCATAACGGACAATTGAAAAGCGGATGAAGAAGGCATTGCCTGTCTATGGCATATCAGATGGGCGGCAGAGTGTGGGAATAGGACCATATATAGCATTTTTCAATGGATTACCAAAAACTCTCCCTATATTTGTATAGAGGGAGAAATAGAGTAGAAAATGGCACTGTTCACAGAGTGACTCAACAGTTGGTCGGTCGATCGGCCGCCATCTGGCATGCAACCAGTATTTGATGGAGGTTAGAAGTGGTTGTCATGTTCTGCAAGCAATTTTTTCAGCATCATGGTCTTGTTGGCTTGGACATCTGTCAAAATGTCCCAGAAGAACATAGCGATCCCGTCGGGTCATAAAAACTGACGCTCAGGCATCCCAAATCAATTACACACCCCATCTCCCATACGCAATGGTTGCCAGTTCGGGGGTTTCACCCGATTTGCTCCATGACTCAACTAATAGTGACGGTTTTTCTACTGTCGCGTACAGTGAAGACAAACATCTGACTAACTAGTCAAACAATTGAGAAGTCAAACAAAAACGATGATCATTCCTTTCACATAGTTTTAGGGTAAACTTCGGGTCGGTCAGCCTTAATGTTTGGTTCCTTGTGATGGATGGAAGGATGAGCGAGAAGGAATTATATAATCCTTCGAGTTGGGGATCCTTTCGGCATGAAAGATCTTTAGAATACTCTGAGACCCAGGTAGGTAGTAAGTGAGGTATTGGGTAAAGACCAAAAGTATTCCTGGAGCCCGAGACACGGTGAGGCTTCGAATATTGGCCCCGTACGACTCCTGCTGGCTAATAAGACGATGTTCGAAGTCTAACTTTCGGCAGAAGTCCGAAGCCAATTAGCCGAACCTGGAGAGATGAAAGTATTGATTATTTCGACCCCACTGGGCAGAGCCTTTAGCTTAACACACATTCTCGGCTTTCTCCACTCACATATTTTCCTTTCGAAAACCGACCCAAACTAGATTTCACGAAGAATTACCCGAATTCATGCCCGGAAAAATTCACTACTTTCTCTGCGCGCCTTTTTTCGAACAATAACCATGCTTAACTTCAGACCTAACAGTGAGATCCTGAAAGTGGATGCTTAGAAGATGCTGCGTAGGGGGTTTATTCACTTAAAACTTCTTACTCACTTAGAATTATCTAAAATTGGCACTTTTTGCCCGGGATGTGGGTCAACGATGCAAACAGAACCCGTCTGTTTTTCAAGAAGTAAAGTAAATGGTACCAACAGTAGCTCAAACTAATCGGAATACAGAACGGGGTACGCGAGAAGGAATCAATCAACGCTATTTTCAGTCAAACGACTTTTCATCTAAGATTCATCTACTGATATAGAAGTCAGTGGTTAAGTGGAAGGGAGGGGGTGGGGAAGTTATTAATACATAAAAAGGTTTAGAGTCTTAGAGGGACAATCAGATCTACCCAAGTGTCATGCGAAAGGAAGGAATGAATCATCGGAAAGGGAATTGCGAAATTTTCTCGGCCAAAAGGTAAACAGTACTGGCGATTAGTCAGACAGCAAAAAAAATAATCAAAAATTGCTTTCTGGTTTTCGCGAGTTTTTCAAAATGTCTCTTCATGAGAGGAAATTGAAAATCCTAAACAGGTTCTCCATACATACCGTGCAAACTGGATTCGAGGAAGAGTCGGTGCTAAAATTGGAATTGCAAGAAAAAACACTGAAAATACTGGAAAGGCTTCGAGAATCCATGGCAAACGGTTTCCGATTTTAAGTGGGAGATTTTCATTTGAAAAGTTAGGGAAAATGGAAAATTTCAATACCACAACATTAATTTTAGGTGAAATTCGGTAAAAATGAGAACATTTTTGAAAAAAAAANAAAAAAAAAGCTCAAATCGCTTCAATCACAACAGCAAACACATTTTGCTTACATTAACGGAAAGAATTTATCGCCAACATTTGAGCCTTTCATTTTTAGCATAGACAGCTATGCGACGTCACTTACAAATGCAGCAGCCCCTCCTGTTCACTGTGCTGCCCTTTCGCAAAAAATAGGGTTTCATTAATTTTTTTGTTGTCCAAGCAATGATGTCATTTGCGCTCTTCCAGTTATGGTGACTGCTGATAAGTGAAGAACAGCTCTATTCACCTAGGTAGTACCAGTTTCTTTGCGGAAAGGAGTAAAGTAAGAAAACAGGGGTTTGTAAATTAGCAGGCCTAGAACCTTATCCAAGCACAGCTCAAATCTCTGGCAACATCGCATAATGATTCGCTGCAGATAAAGAATAGAATAAAGATGATAAATAAGTAAAATGATAGAACGGCAAATGGTATTTCAGTCTCAAGGTGGGGCACCCGGAGGTTCCTGACCGACCGTATTACTGTTTATGAAAGATAGATGTTTGAAGTTCAGAAGAAATCTCAAAAGCAGGAATCACCAGTTACCACCTCTGGAAGAAAGGTTGCGAGTACCATGTGAGGACAGAGGCGTTATTTTTTTCAAATGCAGTGCTAAAGTAGCGTGGGTTTATGAATAGTGTGTAACAAAAAGAGTTTCTTTTCATCAGAAAGTGTCAAACATTATACAAATGCATCAGTGATGGTGCATATATTAGTTAAATGCTTGTTGTTGTTAGGGAAAAAAATCTGAAAAAAATTGCAGAATGCGTAAAGACTTTTCCGACAACCTAGTAAAACGCCTCAAACACAAAGTTGAATGCGTGGCGTATTCCAGAAGGTTTGATTAACTATAAGCAGAATGATGCAGTGCTGAAAAATGACGACCCAGAGAGACTAGACAAAGAACTGAAACAGAGGGCTGTCCGAAATTGAAATTGAATAGGGCGGAATGAACAGATGCGTAAACTGGCAAGGAGCCAGGAAACGGAACAAGTCCGTTGGATGTGAACTAAACCACAAAAGCCCTTCTGTTCTGAAAGGCAAGTGAAAACTGTAACTGTAACAGCCTGGGACTACTTGTCACCTTCGAACTCCAACTTCAATAACAACAAATAATCATAAATAAGAGTAAAACGCTATGGTAAATCATCTAGTACAATGGAGGTTCTCGAATTACCGCTAAAAACTGATTCTTTCTCATTGCTACTGAACATCTGATGCTCATGGAAGGTGACTATTGGATTTTACAGGAGCGGATACTAAATCGAAGAAACGAGTTGAATTCCCCTTTAATGTGCTTCTCCTAAATTGGAATTCAGAGATTGTTGTCAATGTCGACTGATAATTTTTTCCGAAGTACATCAGAAAAAGCAGCTCAAAACGTCAAATGAGCCATTTCGATGAAGGGACACATCCAACAAATCATCACCCTTTTTCAAACAATACATGGACAAAGGTGATGTAGTGACAAGTGGTTCACTATCACATAGGCATGGTCACGGGTTTGAATCCCGGATCGATATCCGACTAGAACAACGAAGACTTCAATCCGTCGAGGATGATTATTATTATTATTGAGGAACTAAACTCGTCCAGGACGGTAAAAGTACTGATTGATTCATCGAAAATGTTTCATTATCTGTCTCCAAACAATATAATACCTATGATTCATGGAAATGAGTTTACTACGAAAAATACGAGGAGACAAAAGGTCTCTCATCGTAGGCGTGAGCAAAAAATTGCCCATCAGTGAATTCGTCGCGAACTGGTTCTCAGCTAGGCTGCTGATGATTGTTTTTTCAACCGGGATCCATTAAGTATTACTGTTGTGTAATGGAGAAGAATAGTCCCATTAATAAGTAGGATCGATGAGTGCACGTGTGCAACAGCACAGGAACAAGCGAAACAACGTGTACGGATTTCTCCTAGTTTGTCCTGAGCCTGACCTCATTTTTTTCAGTTCTATATCCATTTATCATACTCGCCAACCCTGGTGTACGCGTACATACCCCAAATATATGAAAATGGCCATAAAAATGATGCAGCACTTTGTACTATGGACAGGAATCGCCTATCAACCCAGTTATTCGTAAGATACTAAAGACGTAACACCCCAAGCCGTCGAAGTTCTAGCTGACCCTACAAAACGGTTTTCTAGAGGCACCTGTGAATGGACATTGCCAATGCCTAAACCCTTTAGTCAGCATGTACCATATTTGATCATTTGTAACAAATGATAAAAGGAAATGTAGAAAATTCGCCGTGCTGGAGTAATCGCCCACCCAAGGAGGCTCAAGTCGCCCACGTTGGGCTGTGAAGCAAATGGTAACAAATCGACCACCAGTACATGTACGAAAATAATTGTGAGCATTGAAACGGGAAAATGCATACGCATGAACGATTTGTCGCATTAATCGCCCCAGCGTACCAAAATGGCCCAGCCAATGACGTCCCACATCCGGTGATAGCGAAATAAACTACGCCGTTAAATTCGTACTATACGTTTTATGCCTCCATTAGA